AATTTGGTCTATCGGTAGAATTTTCTAAGGTGGTGGGAATTCCAGCACCTTTCCAACTCTCGACCTTCCATTGTTTCTAACTTGTATGTCCCAGGGCGTAATATTGCTGTGACCCTATATGGGCCTTCCCATTTCTTTGCAAGTTTTCCCCCTTCTCCGGGTTTGCTGGCCTCCCTTCGTCTCAGGACCTCGTCACCCACTTGGAAATAACGAGGCCCTACCTTGTTATCATGGTAGGCCTTGGCTGCTTGCTGGTATTCCATGATTTTAGCCTCAGCGACCATCCGCCTCTCTTCCAGCAAGTTTAGCTCTGCCAAATGGTCTTCCTCATTCCCTTTCTCTTCATAGACCTTCTCCCGAAAGGTCATTATTTTAGCTTCGATGGGTAGTCTGGCCTCACACCCATATGTAAGGACGAAGGGTGTCTCCCCTGTGGCCCTTCTTGAAGTGACCCGGTAAGCCCAGATGATATGTGGCAACTCCTCTAACTAATTCGTTCCTGCCTCACCCAACCGCTTTTTGATCCCATCGACTATTGTGTGGTTCGCATTTTCCACCTGGCCATTTCCTTGCGGGTAGGCCACGGAAGCCTTGTTGTGAGTAATCCCGAAGTCCTCCAAGTATTTGGTGAACCCTAGATTCCGAAATTGAGGCCCGTTATCCGTCACAATGTTTCGGGGTGACCCGAACCGAGTGATGATGTTCTTCCAGACAAAGCGCTGGCACTGCTTGGTTGTGATGGTTGCATATGCCTCGGCCTCTACCCACTTTGTGAAATAGTCGATAGCAGCCATTACGTACTTCTTCCTCCCTTGAGCTTGAGGGAAGGCTCTAATGATGTCCATCCCAAACCTTGTGAATGGAATAACATTGGAAACTGGATGGTAGTAGGTTGCAGGCCTTCCCGGAAACTTGTAGAACACCTGGCAAGTCTTGCACCTCTGCACATATTTTTCACAATCTTGATTCATTGCATGCCAAAAGTAACCTAGCAAGATGATCCTTTGTGCAAGTGTCCTGGACATTTGATGGGCTGCACAGAAACCCTCATGAACTTCGGCGATCACTCTTTTCGCCTCCGCCCTGGTCAAGCATCTCAGCAGCGGACCGCCAAATGCCCTTTTGTATAGCCTTTCATCTAGCATTTGGAATCTTGGAGCCCTCAACTTTACTTTTCTCACCCTGTCCTCATCCTCAGGGAATTGCCCGGTCATGTAATACTTGACCAAGTCATCTATCCAAATATCATCAGGTTCCACCAGGCCTAGATTGGGCCGTCCATCTTCCTCAATCAGGCTAACAGAAAGCCCTTCAATGCTAGCCTTCTCTAGCATCTCAATCCTGGCCAATTTTGAGACATGTTCCGGGGCTGCTTGCGTCAATTTTGATAGTAAGTCAGCATCGGTGTTCTCCCCCCTAGGGATTTGTTCCATCACATATTCAGCCAAGTCCTTCAATAGTGCCTTTGCCAAGCCCCTGTACTTTTGCATCTTCTCTCCCTTGGCCTCCATGTTGCCATTGATGTGACCTACCACCAAGCTTGAATCGGATTTGATTTTGAGGCATGTGATTTGTAGGGTTTTGGCCAGTCTCAGACCCCCTATCAATGCTTCATACTCCGCTTCATTGTTTGTGAGCTTGAAATTAAAGATCAAGGCATGATATAATTTGAACCCTTCCGGAGTTGTGAATACTACGCCTCCCCCGTAACCTTTCAGTCCAGAGGCTCCATCTACCGACATGGACCACCAAGGTTCGGTGATGGCCCTAGCCGGTTCTTCTTCCTGGTGACCCGTCATCTCCACAAGAAAGTCAGCCACAGCCTGCCCTTTTATTGCCGTCCTCGGACGATATTCATTGTTGAATTGGGTAAGCATCATGGCTCATTTGATCATCCTTCCCGATGAAGTGGAATCCCTCATGACTGTGCCCAATGGTAGGTCGGTCAATACGACAATGGGATGGGCTTGGAAGTACGACGTGAGTTTCTTCGCTGTTATGAAAAGTGCGTACCCTGCCTTCTCCGTAGGAGTGTACCTACTTTCTGCCCCATTTAAGGCCTTGCTTACATAATAGATGGGCCTTTGGACCCCATCATCCCTCATCAAGACCGAGCTAACAGCCATTTGAGTAACCCCTAAGTAGAGGTAGAGGGTCTCCTTTGTTTCTGGCTTGGACAAGACAATATCCGAAGTCAGGTATGTCTTCAGCTCTTCGAATGCCCTGGCGCATTCATCATCCCACTGGAAGGTGTTGGCTTTCTTTAATACTTTAAAGAAAGGTAAGGCCTTCTCTGCCGACCTGGATAAGAACCGGTTTAAGGCCGCCAAGCGCCCCGTTAACCTTTGGACATCCCTTACCGATGTCGGGGGTTGCATCTCAACAATGGCTTTGATTTTCTCAGGATTTGGCTCAATCCCCCTCTTCGTGACCATGAAGCCCAAGAACATCCCCGTCCTCACAGCAAAAACACACTTCTTCGGGTTAAGTCTAAGATTATGCCTAGCCATAATCTCAAAGCATTTTTCCAGGTCCTGAGCATGTGTGTCACTTGCCCTGCTCTTCACCAGCATATCATTGACATAGGCCTCCATGGTCCGTCCAAGCAAAGGCCTGAACAATTTGTTGACCATTCTCTGGTAAGTTGCCCCTGAGTTTTTCAACCCAAAGGTCATCACCTTGTAACAGTATGTGCCGTCCGGAGTGAGGAAGGCCGTCTTCTCCTCATCATCCTCTGCCATGAAAATTTGATGATACCCTTTGAAGGCATCCATAAAGCTGAGCAACTCACACCCGGCAGTTTCATCCACCATTTGATCTGGGCTGGGCAGAGGGTAAGAGTCCATCGGGCATGCCTTGTTGAGGTCTGTGTAGTCCACGCACATCCTCCAAGTATCACCCTTCGGGGCCAGGACAACATTGGCCAGCCATTCAGAGTAGTTTACTTCCCTGATATGACCTACCTCAAGTAGGTCCTTGACCTCTTTTTTTCACAAAATCCCTCCTATCACTTGCCAAGAATCTTTTCTTCTGTCTTACAGGCCTAGACCCCTCAAGAGCAGAGAGACGATGGCAAATGACTGACCGGTCAATCCCGGGCATATCAGCAACACTCCAGGCAAATAATGATTTATACCTGGTCAGCACCTGGACAATCTCAGTCCTTAGCTCTTCCTGGAGATCAGCCCCAATTTTGACCTTCCTCTCAGGATTGGAGGCATCAATCTGGATCTCCTCCGTGTTTGCATCTGGCTCAATCCTAGCCTTCTCCTCACCCTTGTCTACCTGCTGGGAGACCAATTCAATTTGTTCGAACTAGCGGGTCATCTTCTTGACTGCTTCCAGGTAGCAGGACCGGGCGTTCTTTTGATCACCCCTTTCCTCCCCGATTCCATTGGGAGTGTAAAACTTCATGCATAAGTGTGCCATGGAAATAATAGCCCTGACCTGGTTGATTCCAGGCCTACCCAGAATGGCATTATGCACACATTTGATATCGACCACAACAAATCTCATTTGTTTGGTCACTGTCCTGTTACCTGACCCCAAGGTAACCGGTAAGGTTATCTGACCTTCCGCTTCTATGCTAGCTCCAGTGAAGCCTGACAATGGAGTTTGCAATGGCCTCAACATGGACCTGTCAAGCTTCAATTTCTTGAAAGCATCTAAGTATAAAACATTGACACTGCTTCCTGTGTCAACTAGTACTCTGGCCACATCAGCCCCGTTGATGTCCATTGTAATGACCAAAGGGTCATTGTGATCTCCCCCCGTCCTGGGCAGATCCCTATCAGTGAAAGTGATAGGTTCCCTTCTTGCCTGCTTTCCTTGTGATTCCAAGGAAACCACCGCTACGTGTAAGCTCCTGGCCCAGTTCTTCCGCTGGGAGGCAGTGTCCCCGCCTTCCGGGCCACCGACAATCATCTCAATGAATTCTTTATCCAGATTGTTGTTATCCTTCCCGGATTTTCTCCTTCCCTGGTCTTTTCCCTGATGACGGGTCCAGGTGTTCGCTTTCGGGTCCTTCTTATTACCCGTCGCGTAACCTTCCCCAAGCTCTCCTTTCAAGGCCATCTCCTTGAGCACAGCCTTGACTAAAGCCGTTAGGTGGCATAACACCCTCAGTCTAACCACCATCCATGTGGTGAAGAGGCAGGTTCCGGTCTTGGGTTGTTCTCCCTTCTTATCATCCCTTATTTGATGGACAGACCCGTCATACGTAGCCTTTAGTTTGGACCCTCCCATCTGGTCGTCCTTCTTCGGCTTGTCGGATTTCACCTTCGTATATCCT